ATATTTCTTCAGCAGCAGTGTGTAACCTCTCGTTGATAAACTGTCTTAAACTCTGGATTGTAGACATTTCCATTCAAACACTTTAGCCAACTGACTTCTCCGAGAACGCAGCGAAGATCGACTACGGAAGATGGCGACTTACTTTACTTCTGCTGACAATTGTTATAAACGGAACAAAACCACGTGTTCTAGAAAAGTTGGTCAAAAAGCATTTGGTCGAGTAGCAGCTCGTTCATGTGGATGTTAGCATGGTAAGCTAACAATAGTTGTTCTTCTTCTCCTATTGATGACGGTTGGCAAAAAACCTCCGGGCACATTGCCGCCACCTCCTGGATTGGAGTGAGTCTCAAAAMAGATCCAGGACTAAATCATTCAATTCTCCTTGTATCTGCGGCATCTATTAGAAATATAAAAACAGTCATGTACTCTACTGAACTCTTCTGCAGCATTTCTCTMATATTCAGCTCTGYCTGAGTCATTTGAAGTGGATATTTAACTTCCTGTCTCCATTGTTGATGTTCTAATTCAAAGTGTTCTTCAGTGTTTCCATGGATCGTACTTGTTTCCATTCAGTCCAGCAGCACCGAGTTCAGTAGAGTACATGACTGTTTTTATATTTCTAATAGATGCCAGAGTTTCCAGAGCTGTTCTCAGATATGCACTGGACTCCAGAGGAGGTGCGGAGAATCACCGGAGCTCAGTCCGATGGCAGCTATCGAAACTCTTGCGTCAATCACCAGCAGGGGGCGCGTTCTCAAACGAGAATGACGCGAGTCTTCCCGGAAGTAGTCTACCCCTTCCCCCCGGCGGAAGTAAACAAAGAATCCCAGCCGTGTCAGTGTGGCGCCGATCTCATGTCCGGCTGATTAAACATGTCCTCGGTTCTGTGTTTCAGAAAGTTTGTGAGTGAGCGACTGATCGCAGCCGCTGAGGAAATATTAGGAGTCTTTGAACAAACAGTTCAGGTTTACGAGGAGGAGATCGAGCGTCAGCGCAGACTGCTGGAGACTAAAGTCCCCGAGAAAGGTTCGTAACATCACCTTCCACTGATGACAGGGGGTAAATCAATTGATGACAGGACTCCATCTTCTTTGTATATATCATTTATAAGCTGTATTTTACGGGGACCGAGAGAGCTCAACGTACTGCAACTCAAGAAAAATTCAGATTTTCTTTTTCTCACCAAGAGCCATGAATTGTTGTCTGGGAAATCAATCATCGTGTTGAAAAACGTCCTATCCTGCTTACGAAAAACAAAGTTATGCGGAATCCGCACCAAAAGTACAAAAATCCTTGGACCCGTCCGACGTCCGTCCACCAAGTTCCACCAGTAGATTATTACAGTCGGACACAGGTGAAATCATAACGTCAGTGACGGAGCTAATGACTTATTGATTCATTCAGTACTGATACAGCCAAATTATCAGGCATGTTTAGGAGGCTGATATTTGTGAATATGTGCGATTTGGTGCATATCTATCAATCATTCAATCAAATCTAATTTGTGTCGCCCATTTTCACAAATCACAATCTCATAGTGCTTAAATAATGGGGTTGAATACACCACTGGGGGATTCATAGCTCTCCATAGATGCTGCTCTAACCTAATGACTAAGTGCTTCTTTTTTCGGTTCCCCTTCAGATGTCTCACTGTCATCTTCCTGTAATGAGGAGGTTCTCCTGGGCCATCAGAGGCTCTGTGACTGTAACCAGAAGAGGAACTCCACCCTGAGCCAAGGGGAGTCACAGTTTAGCGTGGAGGTGGAGGAGCTCTGCTCCGGTCGTGACAGAGAGCAGCTCATACTGAAGCAGGAGACTGACTTGTTAAGACTTGCACATGAGGGGAGTGATTACAGTGAAGACCAGATTCTGCTAATGGACCCTAACCAAATTCAGAATGCAGCACAAAGACAGTTGCAGAGTAAAGTAAAATCTGAATCTTACACAGGGGGTTCAGATATATCAGTTGTAAACAGTGACCATCAGCTTTCTCACAACTCACATGTAGCTACAGACAGAGACCTTGAAAAAGCAAACCAGGAGAATGCGAGTACTCATCAGACACCAGAGAACAAACATTTCAAATGCATGATTTGCTGTGAGGAGTTTAATGATTTCTTAAAGTTCAAATTTCACTCAAGGACCCACACTGGTGAAAAACGTTTTAAATGTGGCACCTGCGGGAAAGGGTTCAAATGTCAATCAAACCACATCAGTCATATGAAAACTCACTCTGGCGAGAGGCCGCACACTTGCGTCACTTGCGGGAAAACTTTCACCCGTAGAGCCGACCTGAGGAGGCACAACCGAACTCACACAGGGGAGAAGCCATACAGCTGCATTTTCTGCGGGAATAAGTTTTCTCACCACTCGTCTCTCACAAATCACGTCCGGGTGCATACAGGGGAAAAGCCTTATAAATGTATTTGGTGTGGGAAGAGGTTTGCTATCAACACAACATTGAAAATACACACCCGAGTCCATACAGGGGAGAAGCCGTACACATGCAACCTCTGTGGGAGGAATTTCGCTCATAACACGGGGCTGAGATTACACAGGAGGACTCATGCTGGGGAAAAACAACAGAGCTGAGATACTTTGTGTGGAATGGCTCAAAAAAGGTCAAACTTGAAAGTGGGATTCAACTTGAACAGCTTATTTATGGCCTTTTGTAATTTTACTTTTCTGCTGTTGCATTACTTGCAGATTAATCAGTAAACTTGTGAGTAATTTTGAAAATATNAATCCGTTTGAAACGCGTTTAAACAACACATTGACCACCCTTTACAATATCTGCATGATATCAACGATCAATAATACATTTGCTAAATTAAATGTCTCGCTATAAGATAAATGGAATCAAAACAGTGGACACTAAGGATGTTTAGCTGCTGATTAACTTAAGGTTCTGCTTGACACAGACAGACGTGTTCCAATGTCTCGGATATATTTCACCCTTTGTTAATTCTACCCAACACAAATCTCAAGAGTCCCATTTCATGAAGTCTAGTCTGTGTCCACTCATTTCTGTTAACTTCATGTATTTTTGTTGGATAAGTTTCATCTCTTGTGTTTTTTCCCACATTTGCTATGTCTGACCTCACAATATCTTCAGTATTGATTGAAAAGTCCTTAGATATATATACAAGCAGATTTACAGTTTACATTGATGTCAAAACCACTTTCCCTGGAACATCATGTGACCTCTGACCRTTTGAAAGCAGATGGTTGATGGTTTCATTTGGTAAAACAGCCTTCAATAGTAAACTTTTTGTTGGTAAGGAAGCAGCTCCGTTAGACAACAGCTCAGACTGCCAGTCTACCCACAGAAACTAAGCAGGAATACTAGTACTACGTATACTTTTACTTGGAAATCAGAGGGATCTAAGTGTTTATGGGRGAAAATGCCGACGTACAAGACACTGCAGCAGTCAAGTTAATACTGTTCACTTGAAATATCAAACTTTCAATATTATTGCACTTTGTAGGCCATGTAACAAYATCTTTTGTTAGTGAATAGTATATTCTAAGGCCACCATGTGACCYTTGTTTCAGATGTTGCAATGGTGGATAGGTGTTGTCATAACTCTGGACACGACAAACGCGTGAACTGGAAAGCTGTAAGACAGTGTTGCAGTGGTGGATCATCAACTCCTAACCATGTCTCTGTCAGGCAAATGCAATCAGCATTATTCATGTGTGCAATCGCTTGTATGCCTAAAAAAGTACTCTAAAGACTCTGAGTGTTGTGCAATATGATGGTAAATGCAGTCTGTGTTATGCCGCTTGATGTTAGAGTTGATATTTTGCTTGTTGCTTCTGCTACCTTTACAATAAATGGCAGATTCCTTAAACTCCTTAATAATTAGGGCACAGACTTGTAACATGGCTGAGAGCAACATATGCTTGACCAGAGGAAAAAACCTTGCTGGGAGACACAACWGAATTTTCAATTGTTGAACCATATATTTTGTGGACAGTGGAGACGTGCATTAAGTTCACTATTAAAACTTTATTTTATAAAGGAAGGACTAGAATTGGACAGATACATGGGTTATTTCTACTCATGTGTCATATTCATTGCTAGTTGAAATCACTGTTCGCTCCAGACCYCTTCTTCTGTTTTTTGCAACCTGATGATTTAAATTTTACCTTTGAGCAGGGCACAATAAAGAGGTCTGACTTCCTGTTGGTTAGTGTTGCTGTTTAGCTGGTGGTTGGCTCCTCAC